AAGCAATTTCATATGGCAATGCTGTAGAAAATAAATTGATTGTTGTCAAATTTGTTTACGTTTATGAGAATAAAATTTATAAATAAAGGAAAATTCAACAATTATTCAAATTGGGAGCTGTTTTACTATCGTTTTGGCTGATTTTCTTCCTTTCTGCAATGTATCAATTTCATAAAGACATAATCCCAAAAAATATTGAAAACAAATGCCAATATCTTCTTCCTACACACAGACAAACAAACAAATTGTTTCATAAATGCAGAAACTCTCGTCTGTTAGGGGTAAATATTAATTCAAATTAAGAACTTTTTAATGCAAATTAAGGCTGTCGTCTGTCTACGGTATAAGTCTACTTAGCATTCGAAATAATTCAAAAAGTTCCAAGCCTAAATATGCTAAGTGTACTTACCACATTATGGTATGGAAGTTCCTTAAATCTTACGGGCCATGCTAAGTACATTTGCTTATAACTTTGGTTTGGATTGGCCGATGATTACCAAAATTTCAGATAATTTAAATTAAGGACCGTAGTATCTAAAAACGTAAAGAACTGTAAAACATGCTAAGTCGACTTAGCATACTATGGTTCGGAGGCGTCGATATGGTCTTTGTTACCCGGCGCCTTCATATATATTTTATAATATAATTTATAAAATATATTATAAATAAATATTTACCTTTAGTTGTCCACATTTTGGAAGCTTTGCTCAAATTTTAGCTTGCTGTCAAATAATTTTATTTACCCAAAATCAGCTGTTTTTGTGTTTGCCTTTGAAAATATTATGTGATCAGACTATGGCAATCCTAATGTGACCTTACATTTACTTATGTTCTACATCAAGGTGTATTTAATATGGAGTATGCATCAGATACAACAACACATATTTTACAAAAAAAAAACATTGTTGTTGTTTAATTTAGATTTGTATAAAAATAATACTTTTTATTGACCCCTGATGTGGTCTTCTATTATTCGTTAAAATGTATGCGCTACGGTTTATTGCAACCTTGAGTTAGCGCTTTTGACGTTTTAACGAATAATCAATTGTCACTTGCTTTGCCGCCTCCTTTAAGCATCAAGGAGTATCAATCTGTCAGTCGGACAGACAACCACGCATATCGTTGCGAGCACATATCGTTGTGCATAGTAAGGTAATTTCGTTACCAACAACCAAACAATCAATAAACCATTGAATTACTATATTAAGAAAACTATTGTGTTTTTCTCTTAATTCTTTTACTTTCACGGCACACGGCTATTCGTACACCCCTACCCTACGGTCCACTGCTCCACGCATTCGGCGTACTGACTCCCTTCGGCGGAGCCCCTCTGAGCTAAACATTTGGTCCAATCGAACCGGATTCACCAGCCCAATTGGCCACTACTTGGAATCCAACAACATACAGTCCATTACTTTAAAATTGCAAGGTACGTATAGTGCAGTGTATACAAGTGAGCCCGCGGAAGTAAATTGTCGCGACCATAACAAAACAATCGGTTCTGTTCAAAGGTCGCTTTGGTCGCATCACCCCTTCGTTGGTTTCTCGCCTATCGTTGGCTTTTATTTGGATGCTTGCATTCGGCAGCATCATAACCAAAACAAAAACCAAAAATATCATTATCGCAAAATTCATTGACATTCCCTGTTTGTTTGGTCCTCTTTTCAAGCATTGTTGTTGTTAAAAAGTTACATTTTCTTCTTCCGCTTTTCTACATAAAGCAAAAACTGCAATATTATTTCGTTGTTTTGTTTGTCACAATAATATTGCATATTGTTGTTGTTACATTCATTCTGTTTTTTTTTCGTTGTAACAACAGTCAAATTTCTCGTCTGTTTGCTTTGTCGTAAACAGCAACAACAACATTGTTTGATCGTCTACCTACATCACTGCTATCTTTGTTGTTGTTCTCTGATCAGCACTTGTTGTTTGTGCTTTGTTAGATCAGTGAACTAACATAACAAACGAAGGATGAATATTTTTGTTATTCTTCTTTCTGTTATGTCCTCATAGGTCGAGTACTCACCTTACGTTGGTTGTTTGCTTGAGAGGAATAATTTCTGTTCATTCCTTTTTCTATCGTGTCCGTTTAGGTTGAGTAGCCACACTACGTTGGTCGGTAGTATAAGTTAACTATATTGTTTGTCATAGGGTGTTTGTAAATAAATATACAAATAAAATACTATTGTGTATTTTATTATTGTTTTGTTTTTTAACATTTTCAAATTGGTACACCCTACAGCCCGCCATATCGGCACAACAAATTAATTAAAATAATTTCGTTATTTTATTTAATTTTGCATTTTTTCGGATAATTGTTTGGTATTTTTTCTTTTACATATGGCCTCCACTTCCAACATTTCTTCCGCTTGTGATATCGTTCACAATATGTCCTTGCCTCCAATAGATATTGATGTTTTCGATGGAGATTTTTCTAAATGGCATTCCTTTCGGGATTTGTTTAGCGCGATATTTATAAAAAATTCCAAGTTGTCTGATGTTGAACGTTTGTTCTATTTGCGACATAAGACAAGTGGTGAAGCTCGTGAAATTGTTTCGCAGTTTCCTCTCACCAATCGTGGTTTCGTGCTTGCTTGGAAAACACTCAATGACGAATTCGATAATACTCGGATTTTAGTGAATCGCCAATTGTCGTATTTATTTAATATTCCTATTGTGGACAAAGAAACAATCTCCGGTTTGAAAGAGATTCGATGCGGCATCAATAGCTGCATATCTTCAATGTTGACATACAATGTACCAACGGATCAATGGGATCCAATTCTAGTTTTTGTTTGTCAACAAAGATTGCCTAGAATTACTCTGGCTCTTCCTTTCAGAAAGGATAAACACGCTTGTGTGTTTAGAAAATTTCGTGGATATATCCATTACTGTGGATAAATCTAAATCGTCAAATGCAACTAGGAAGTTTGTTTCAAAACATTCGTCTCCACCTTCAATTAACAAATCGTGTTCTCTATGTCGTGAGAACCCCCACCGCCTTCAATTGTGTCGAAAATTTAATGAATACTCCCCTGCAAATAGATTTGCATTCGCAAAGCGACAAGATCGTTGCATAAATTGTTTGGTAAAGGGACATAAACTAGTAAATTGTACTAGTAAAACAAGTTGTTCCAAATGTGGTCAGCGTCATCATACGTTGTTACATCGGGAGTTTTCAAAACCGAATAATTTGTCAAGCTCGTCAAAAACGTTGTCAGCTTCAGCCTCTGTTTTTCGTCCCTCGCAACATATATCATCCACATCTGTTAGAGTCCAAAATCAAAAGTTTGATACAATTTCCTCAAAATCGTTGCGAAAAATGTCAAAGAAAAAGTTGATAAGATTTATTAATACAAATTTATTGGGACATAATGTTGCAAAGCGACCTTCAGAAAAAGTCGGAATCGCGACAAATGCTGATGCGTCCTATTTGGCTCAGCCCCCGAATGTCGTTTCGGGTAAATAATAGCTCGTTTGAAGTCCGAATCTGTAACTGCAGGTTCATTTGCGTCTTCATACTAATATATGTCGTATAATAAAAATAGCTCGATTGAAGTCCGAATCTGTAACTGCTTCATAGTAATATTATCGTTGTAGCGGAATTGGATTCCGAATCTGTTACTGCAGATTCATGGGCGTTTCCATTCCCTAAATTTTGTTCGAATTAAAATGCTCACACTGCACTATACACCTCTTGTACCTATTACACGATATAATATATTTGTATTGTTTAGAAACATACCTTGATGTTTCAAGGGGGCCGGAATGTTTAATTTAGATTTGTATAAAAATAATACTTTTTATTGACCCCTGATGTGGTCTTCTATTATTCGTTAAAATGTATGCGCTACGGTTTATTGCAACCTTGAGTTAGCGCTTTTGACGTTTTAACGAATAATCAATTGTCACTTGCTTTGCCGCCTCCTTTAAGCATCAAGGAGTATCAATCTGTCAGTCGGACAGACAACCACGCATATCGTTGCGAGCACATATCGTTGTGCATAGTAAGGTAATTTCGTTACCAACAACCAAACAATCAATAAACCATTGAATTACTATATTAAGAAAACTATTGTGTTTTTCTCTTAATTCTTTTACTTTCACGGCACACGGCTATTCGTACACCCCTACCCTACGGTCCACTGCTCCACGCATTCGGCGTACTGACTCCCTTCGGCGGAGCCCCTCTGAGCTAAACAGTTGTTATAGAAATTAAATTGTCTCGCTGACAATAAGTTTTTGACAAAAATAAACAAAAACAATTATTAATTTATTTTTGTCAAGAACTATTCTTTGAATAATAATTAATGAATTTGTGTATTCTTGGGTTATTGGCGGTTTTAGGTCTATGGAGTAGCGTCTTTCAATTTTCTTGCCTTCTTAAAGAAAATTGAAAGACATAAATCCCCGGCCAAAGACTAAATCATGGAACTTGTGTTGACCGTATAAAATCTTTCCATATGTATTTAACCTTTGCCGAGAATTGTTACAAGCACCAAGGGGCCGATTCCAATATAGGCTAACATAATCTCCTCGATTTTATGAGTATCAGGAATTTATGGACAGATTTCCTCACAACATGAAATATGCGGACCATTCGGCGAACAGGGATGTAACTAGGGATTGTAACAAAGGATTTAAGCCTAGGCTTCCTTTCCGTCCGCCTCGTGAATGTAGTTTTCTTAAATTTTTTTTATTAAAAAAAGCGTAAATTTAAAGACCATTTTTGAAATCTAAATGTAATATTGGAAATATTTTTGACAATTTGCTTTACAAACAATAAAGAAAAAAGTTTAAAACCATATGATTGTCACTTACACCTTATTAAATACACCTTGGTTCTACATTATATTACAATAAATATGAGAAGTATTACTTTCTATTTGGTATTTTTGTTACAAAGACGAAAACTAAAAACGTATTTTTAAGACAGTGAATCAAAAAATATATTACGAGGCTACTATTAAATAAGAAAATTATTTATATTTATTTTTCAGATATTAAAACATAAAATTGATAATGTGAAGAGGATGAGTTCTCATCCTCTAATGCCACTTTATTTAACTGGAGGACAAGATGGGTCTGTCCAAATTTGGGAATGGGGGCATCAGCAAGTGGTATGCACCCCTCGACCTTCGGGAACTTTTGCCAAAGTAACAAGGTGTAGATTTTCGGAACAAGGAAATAAGTTTGGAATAGGAGATGGAGACGGGAATTTAAGTTTATGGCAGGCCGGCATTGCCTCTCAAAATAACAAATCATTCTTTGTAAGTTCACTGCTCTTATATTTAAATACTCCTAATATATATTTTTTTAATAGACGTACCAATGCCACAACAAGTCGCTGAGTGATTTTGTGTTTTTAGGATCGTGCAGTTTGCTGGCAACAGGTAAGCTATGTGTATATACATCAGTTTTGTTATATTTTTTATATTTATTAGTACCTAGTGCCAAAGTACTGGAATTTTTGCTTGCATCGTCGGCCACAATCTCTTATAGAAAATAATAAAGTTCACGGGAAGACTTGTACCATGCCTGCGTCATTACAAACTTTATCCCGTTAATAACTTTTTAGTTAGTTAGGCGATTAAAAATGTTTGCAGGGCGTAGCCGCAAAAATGATGCAAACATGTGCAAGGCCGTGCATCAGTGTTACCGCTCGAAATTTTAGAAAAGTCGCACAGAAAAGTAAATTTGTCAGATACCCTTGTAACTCAAAAACGACCTAGACATATCTAAATTAGGTTGAATTTGCACATAAAAATTAAAATTCAACTTAACAAAAACAGAGAAGAAAAGTCGCACAAAGCTTATGAAGGTGCAAATAGAGACAAAACACATCAAAAAGGTTGCAAATTGCGACATTAGTCGCACAACGGTAACCCTGTCTTGCATTCCTGTTTTAAAGCCAACAAGTATTGTTGAACAAAGACCAACTAAAAATTTACCCATCAAAACTAATACTGATCTTGAAATGGCTACTTCCTCTCTCTCTTCTTTAAATAAACTATTTATTCGGTTTCAACTTTAAGTTTATATTTATTTTATAATTGGTCATAACGAACAGGCTAAATTCATACTTAATATTTAATAATGGCAATCCTCACATACGTTAATTTCTACGCTAGGCTGGAAATCTATATAAAAATATTAGTTTTTATTCAGTTTTTCATGAATGATCTCTAACGTCTAATTAAGTGCCTTTACTAATTAACTTGTCTTTAAAAAATTATTATATTAAATTATTTTTCTGAATTTCTGTTTTTTAGCTGGTCAAAGCTCAGAAAATAAGAATATAATGATTTGGGATACCTTGCTGCCTCAGAAAAAGTCGTGTGTAAGTGGTAAGTATACAAATTAATATAATAAGGGTATGTCGGAAAACATAGAGCTATCATATTTACAATTAAATTGAATTTGTCTTCATATAGAAAATAAAATTAGATAATATAAGTCTCACATTGGACCAAATTGGCTTCAATTTGGTATTTTGGATTATAAATTGGTAATTTTAGTCCACTTTTTATGGTAGCGTCGTGCAAAAATACTACACTGCGCTATGGACCAGAAATCCAATTTTATTAGCAAAAATTCGATTTCAGGTATAAAGAAAAAAATTATATTTTTCAAATCTGTGGACTGTTAGCTTTACACGAATACAATTTTATATCATTGTGGGTCACGGTTTACAAATACATTAGGTCAGAGCCAAATTTTCATATTTTTGTGAATATAATTTATATTCAAAAAATGTTAAATATAACATTGTCATGTGTCAAAATCACCAGTTGCATCAATTAAACAGATGCAACTGGTGATTATAATGAAAGTGAAAATTATTAATATTTTGAATATAATAATCAACAATTTCGTATATGAACCACATGAATATGATTTTTTCAAAATATTTGAGTTCAGTGCCAGTGAAAATTTTATATATTTTACCGTTAGCAACAGTTCATAAACTTTAGAGTTATTGCCGATAATATAAAAATAGTCGTAGAAAATGGCATATAAACATTTAATAAAAACAAACAAGCAAAAAGTGGTTTTGTTTGGCCCGGCCGAACTTTTTATATTCTCCACCACGTGGTGTACATTAAAATTACTTAAATCGGTAGGGGATTTCATATCGGGACTATATCATTGCATTATGTGCTAGTCGAAAGTTAATGTTCAGAGACAATAATGTCCAAATTTTTGACACTGAGGTTGGAAACTCGGTGTAGCAACTTCAACATACCGAAAGTTTAACTGGACATTGTAGAGAGGTTGTTCTAAAACTTCAACCTTTATTGAATAATTTCTGAAAAGGAGTTCGGTGAGAAGATTCAGTTAAAGGCATAATAATAATGAAAATTGAGCTGGATCTTTATGTAGGCTCAGACCAACATATACAAGTTTTCACAAAAATAGGTTTTGTCATCGGGAATGCCAAATTACAGCCACTACAATGAGAAAATGTCGCTACAACCTTCAAAATACTGATAAAAGTTGCTACCCTTATATTTTCTGTATATATAAATGCCATCGGTCGGAAAATGCAGTCCACCTTCAAAATACCATTATATGGGTGATATACCGAAACGTAATTACAGCCAATTCGGCTGAAAAAACGTGTCCATACTCACCAAAATACATAGCAATGGGGTACCACTCTATAGGGGCTACCCCTAAACATGACCCAATGATATCTCAAAATACCAAATTATAGCTGATGAGGTGTCCAAAGCTGCAAAATCCCGAATATTGGGATGTACCGTCATATGGGGGCTACACCAAAACGTGGACCAATGTATAGCATTTTCAATAACAAACATACTAGGAGTAATAACAATTTATTTCAAAGCTCTCTCCCTCATAATGCGAGCGCTATCATGATTTCAATAGGCAGACGGACATGTATAAATCGACATAGAATTTTATTCTGATTAAGAATGTATGCCAAAATATTGCAAATAATCACCCCTATTCCGTAAGTCGTCGTCATTGTCGGCGACGTTTCTCTTTCGACATCACTTCGCATCGACATCGACATCACTTCGACACTGATTTGGTATTCTCATGGCCTATAAATTATTATTAATAGATCTTGGGTATTCTGTAACACTCATGCGACGATGTCGACTATTTATCGATAATATCAATAAAAACAAAAAATACATCTCTAAAAATGTGGTCAGCTGTTTATTTTGTTGCATATTTTTGGGCAAAAATGTGTTTGTATCCTTCACCGCACTGTGGCACAGGGCATTATGTCTTGGTAACCGTGTTTGCAACGACCAAAAAGAAACGAGATAGACCCATAGTTACTTTTTAGTATATATGTACATACATAGAATTATTTTTCAGTCGATTTATGCATGTCCCTCCATTCATGTATTATTTTAAACAAGTTACATGCCATCATTATGATCCGAACGGGATGAAATTTGGAAAAAATCCATCCAATTGGGATGAAATTTTATTTCCACATAGACGAGTCCTATTGACATTGGTCAAAATCGGTTCAGATTTATATATAGATCCCATATATTTTTCTTTATTTACACTTTATTTTGCATTAAGTATTGAATAGATTCTAGAATCATGTATCCTGTTCTTGTCCGGTCATGTTTTTTTTTTTTTAATTTGTAAAAAAAATGTTCAAACGCTTCAGTCGTCAACAAAAACTATGACGAAGAAATCTTCGACATCGTCGTCGTCACACATTGTTACGGAATACCAAAAATGTTTCAATTGTTATCGATAATTGTCGACAAAGACATAGCGAATACCAATTTGCAAAAGACGACTCTCAGTTCGTCCTCGGACGGCTCACAAGAAAGACGTGACCTAAAAAAGTTTAAATGAGTATTATACGCCCACGGGCTTAAAAATAGATTTTTACAAAATGGCGGTTGTTAAGCGTTCGCTTAACTAACACGTGTGTTTTTAAATACGGATAACCTATAAAGTCCGAGTCGTTCAACAGAATCCAAACAGCTGCGCATGAAATTTTTAATTTTCGTAAATTTAATAACAAAAGAAGATGCTTCCCGCAACTATGTGACTCCTTCACAGTAGAAGAGTTCACTGATACACAAGGCTTAGAAAGTCTGAACATTGTGGTCAAATTCTTAAAGAAGATCGAAGTCAACCTGCAAAACACAAACCACCATCTATGGATAAAGTCAAATTCGTAGCTTAAGCTACACATGGAGACATGGCTCTGAACATTCTAATACCAAATAGGACGTGAGCCAAGGAGGAGAGGAGTTAATTGGAAAAAAAGACGACTCTCTTCGACGTCGTTTCGTGTCGACGACGACATACAGAATAGGGGTGAATATTGCAAAGATAATAAATCCCGTATGACTTTTTCAAAAATAAACATATCGTGTGGTTTTTCAGTTTTAAATCGGATATTTTATTCCATTTAACAAAATAAAATTTAAAACTCAAAATAGGAATAAATCTTACAATAAAACTATATTATCTTAAGTTCCGTCTAAATCGCATAATTCTCAAAAACCATTTGATGCGCATGTGTTTCCAGGAATGATGACCCAGCTCACACGAATTTTCACGAAGAAGATTTTATTTAATCCGAAATGTAAAAAACCTTACTGATCGCGGGATAATTATCATTCAATTGACAAAATTTGTCCCGAAAAAATTTTTTTTAGAAATTTGATCGCACAAAATGCTCACCTTTGGATGATTAGACCACATAGTCCACATTACCCGAAGTTACTCTATTACTCTGAAACTGCGCATACTACATACATAAAATATATATCAAATTACTCATATTCGCGACTACAATAACCTTATAATCGATTTTTAGAAATTTCTGTTTGCGTATTAAAGCTAGAAGTTTAATTCAAAAACACACACGAGCTTCAAATTGTCAGCATCATTTAAAGATAGATGCAGTAAAAATGTTGAAAAATGAAACAAAGAGAGTCCCTATTTTGTAGGCTTCTAGTTTTACTTTGACACGAAGACCGTGAAATGAGTGGCTTAGTCATAAATCGATAGAGAACATAAAAAACAAGTTCACCTCAACCTGTTTTTACAATTTTTTTTTTGCAACGACAGATCAATTAACCCAAAAATGTTCACTTTTATTCATATTCTTAAGTAATTCCCGAGTTATAAAGGGGTGAACCTCCTCTTCAGCTATTTTAAAAATTTGACAATATTGCCCATACTGCCATTATGGTACCTTGGGTGAATATGTTTTTGTTGCAAACAGAATGACAAATTTAATATACACTCCAACGTATGGTGGAGGACAATTCTGGCACTTAGGCAAATAACACAAACAAAATTTCTTCATACTCATCACTTTGTTAATTGGCTATTGGATTCGTTCAATGTGGTATTCCTTTTTTCCCCTCTAACACAATATATTGGTATTTCTCTCCAAGACTCAGCAATCTAGTTTTGTGAGTATTACTCGGAACCGAGTATTACCGTCCTGGACACACTGGCATTAAAATCGGAAGCTGACTCCTTCCGTCAGGGCAGAAAATACAATTATTCTTGAATATATGTGGGGGCCCACTTGACGATGCTTAATCGGCGACGTTCAACGAGAACTGTTTTGTCTCGTTGATCGAAACTGTTGTTGAACGTGAGAGTGAAGAACTTCACTTATATGGTTGGTGATGAAAACGAAAAAACGAACCTATATAGAAGCATATCGATAATAAGAGAGAACTAATTTTTATAGAGCAAAAATCGTTTACCATTTCATGTATGAAACATTAGAGATTTAGTACGCAGTGGATCATAAATTCTTCAATTTCTCCTTGGATATTAAAGGAAGTTGAATAAAGCTAGAAATACATGTAATTTGTTCCATACAAGGCTATATTATACAATAAAAAGAATTAACTACAACAATTCTTCAATTCACGAGGAAAAAAAATACTACGAAATTAATTAAAGACAAAAGAAATGATAATTTAAAGGAAAAACCAAACGATGGACTTTCACTTTTTTGCTTAATTTATCAAAAGAAATATTCAGAGCTGACCTTGACTGTTGAAGATGAAGGAATCAAAATGGCAGAACCACAGTTCTTTTGCGCTGTTGAAAGCTCGGCAACTCTGTGCAACAGTGATTTACTTCCAGTTAAGAAAAAAATGTCAATTAAATAAGAAGAGAAAATGTCAATAGATGGCGCTATCATCTATGTTAACAGGCAGAAACATATATTAACTCCGAATTGGGGCAAGCGCCACTACAGTACTTTACTTAATTTAATAATATACTGCCACGAATTACGTTGCAATATGTACTAAAACTTCCGATGTAACTATCAATCAACCATCTAATTCATTCAAATACTGCA